AAGTGTGTTTCTTGTATACAGCATAATGTTGGATTTTTTTCCTAATCCACTATGCCAGTCTATTTCTCTTAACTGGTGAATTGAGTCCAGTTACCTTGATGGTTATAATTGAGATGTGTTTACTTAAGATTGACATGTTACTTACCTGCTGTTGTTTACTCCTTTTTCTCCTGTGTTTAATTGTTTGCCCTATTTAGTAGTTTCCTTCTGTTCTCATTCATAGAGTTCTGATCATTTTGGTCCTGCTCCAGAACATCTTTCAGTAGTCTGTGTAGGGTTGTCTTTGTCATCATGATATTTTTTAGTTGTTCTTTGTCATGAAAGTATTTCACTTCTCCATCCAACTTGAAAGAGAGTTTTGCAGGGTTTAGTGGTCTGGGCTGGAATTTATTTTCTTTCTTTTTTTCCATAATTTTATTGAGAAACAAATAGCAATGATACAGTTTCAAACCAAATTGGTAGGACAAATTCAATAATTAACACATTGCATACATTCTTCTAGTGGTTATTTGCTGTACAAGATGCAGACATGATAGTCTATTTACAAACACTATTAGAACAAATCCCTCTATTCATTAAGATAATGTAACTATATATCTATCCTAACCACTTTGAATACACAGATACAAAATGGATTCATCTGTATCCCCTTTTTTGTTAAATTCCTTTATTTGAATATTATAGTTGTGTTAACTCAGCAAAGTATTCTAAAGGAGTCCAGTAGTCCATCATAGTATAGGGTCTTCCACTTCACTGGCAATGTCAGAAATTGTTGACCTGAGTCCCCTACAGCTCAACATAACAGCATGGCTTTACTTCTTATACTTCATTTTTATACTTTTATGCTGGATGGTTAAGACCAAGGTAAAGCAGAAACCTATACAGCAAGAGCTGTAGCTTTTGGATCTGTTAAAGTCAGTGAATTCCCCTCAGGATTTATCCTGAGATTCTGTACCTCAGATTGTAGAACCTTTGTCTGGAATTTGTTTTCATAGAGGACTGGAAGTACTCTGCTTCTTGCCTTCATGGTTTGTGAACAGAAGTCAGGTGTAATTCTGATGGGTTTTCCTTTGAATGTGATCTGCTTCTTTTCTCTAGTAGCTTTCAGTATATTATTCTTGTGCTGGATTTCTGGTTTCTTGACTATTATATGTCTTCATGTGTTTTTAATTGTGTTGAAGTTATTTGACGTTCTGTATGCTTCGGTTACCTGAATGTCAGATTGTTTCCTTATATTTGGGAAGTTTTCTGCTATTACTTCTGCCCATATTCTTTTCATATCATTTGTGTTGACTGCATCTTTCTTATTGATGCCTATTAGTTTCACATTGTTCATCTTTACATCGTCTTTCAGGAGATGCATTATTTTTTCCTGCATCCTAGTTGTTTTTAAGAGATCGTTTCTTACCTTTTCACTAGTTGCACTATTGTCTTCAAGATGTGAAACTAAAAAACAAAAAGATGTGAAACTCTGTCTTCACTTTCACTCAAACAGTTTTGCAGGCTTGTGACTGAGATTTTCATTTCCTCTATATCTCTTTGACTCAGCTTCATGTGATCTATTTCCTTCCTGTATTGCTCATTCAAAGAATCCATCATATTTCTAATCTCTATTTTTAATCAATGTCTTCTTTATAAGCAGTTTTTAATTCTTTTACTGTATAATTTTTTCAGATTGGGTTTCCTCCATATGTTTCAGTATTTGATTCTCTACTTCAGATGGTATGAATTCAAAGATTTCTGTTTTTATTTCAGAAATTAATTCTGCTCTGAGCTCCTCTCTACCTTTCTGCTGTTGTTTCTTTACTTGTGACCCTATTAACTCATACATTTCAGCTGAGCTAGTGTCTTCTGCAGTTGTTCTGGGTGGGCATTGTGTTTCCCCCATATGTTTCTGTATTAGATTCTTATTTCAGATTCTATGAATTCAGAGATTTCTTTTTTCACTTCAAGAATTAATTCTCCTCTGAGTTCCTCTATTACTTTCTGCTGTTGTTTCTTTACTTCTGACTCTGTTAATTCGTTCATTTCAGCTGAGCTAGTGTTTTCTGCACTTCTTATGGGTTGGCTTGAGGCCTGAGATTGCATTTTACTCCTTGTCTTTATCATTTCATATAGCACTGACCTCTGACCTTTGGTGTAGTGCTTTGTGCTATTATAACCTTAGCACCTACTGAAATTTGGGTACAGATCTATTAAGCTTGAGTTTATCCAGTTATGCCTGGACTGGGTCTATCTGTTGTGTTCAGCTCCTTCCTGCTGCAGCCCTTGGAAGTTAACCTATTGTGCCCTTCTAGCACAACAGTGAACCTGTGGTGTCCCTCTGTTGTGTCCCTGGCCCAGGGAGCACAGGGGGGAACAGAAGCTCTCCCACACACTAGCTAGGCCTGGGCTTGGGCTGGATCTGGGGGTCTCTAGAGAGTTGCAGACATTCTCACTGCGCGTGCTTGGAGGTGAGGGCTCCGGAGGGTTGCAGGGTCCCAATGATGCGGTAGAGGGTCTCACTCATGTAGGTGCCTGAGTTTTGGTCCGGAGGGGTCCCGCAAGCACAGGGAAGCCGGAAGCTCTCCCACACGTTTGCTGGGCCTGGGCTGGGCTGGATCAAGTCTATGAATTTTAGAGGTCTGATTTTTTAAAATTGTATATATTTTCTAGATAGAAGCCATTTGTCTGAGGGAGAGTTTGCTGAAATTTTTGCCACTCTGTTGTTTTCTTTTTGCTTTGTTGGTTATTTCTTTTAAGATGTGTTAACTTTTCAAAAAGGTGAGATTCCAGTTGTTGATTCTTTGAAGTATTTCCTATGCATTTAGTCTGGGTTTTGTTCATGAACTGTACCTACACCTATGCCTTCAAGATTTCTACCTACTTTCTCTTCCAGTAGATTTAGTGTTGTTATTTTAACATTTAAATCTTTGATTCATTTTGACTTTTGTTTAGTGCATGGTGATAGGCATGGTTCTAATTTTAGTCAACAGCATGTGAAAAGGCAGTTTTTCCAACACCATTTGTTAAAGAGGCTATCTTTCCTCCAGTAAACATGTTGGGCCCCTTTATCAAAATTAAGGTGGCTGAGTGTGTTTGTGGTTGTGTTTGCATCTTCTAATCTGTTCCATTGATCTTCAGGTCTGTTTTACTGCCATCACCTTGCTGATTTTATTGCAGTAGCTTTGCAGAATAATTCCAGGTCAGGGATTGTAATGCCTTCTGCCTTGGCTCTGTTGCCTAGAGTTGCTTTTGCTATTCTAGGTCTCTTCTGGTTTCAGATGAAGTTTTGGAATGTTTTTTCTAGATCTGTGACATACACTAATGGTATTTTAATTGGGATTACATTCAATCTGTATAACAGTTTTGGGAGTATTGCCATTTTCACAGTGCTGGTTTTTCCTACCCATGAGCAAGGAATATTTTCTGAAATCTATTTAATCTTTCTATTTTCTTTTCTTTTTTTTTTTTTTTTGTATTTTTTAGGGAAGGGTCTACAGGGTATTCAGGGTCTGACTACTAGATCAGATTCATAATGATCCACCTGTTTATAGCTTCCCAAGGGCTGGAATTATAGGTATGTTCCACCATGCCCAGTCAATTGCTATCTCAGTGTGTCCCTGGAGGTGGGACCTGCACTGCAGGCCTGGGGATCGAAGCCCTGGCCTCTGTGTCTGCTTTCAAGTGCTTTAATCCACTCAGCTATTCGGCAGGCCCTTTTTTCTTTTTTGTGTGTTACCAGGGAATTGAATTCAGGAACCTGCTCTTGCTAGGCAAGCGCTTATTCTACTGAGCTATCTTCCCAGCACTCTATTTTCTGAAATTCTCTTTTATCTCTTTTTTTCAGGGTACTGTAATCTTCATTGTATAAATCTTTAATTTCTTTTGTTATTAATTCCTAAATATTTCATTTTTTATGTTATTATGAAAATTGTGGTTTCTCTAATTTCTCTCTCCATGTATTTGTTACCTGCTTAAAGAAATGCCATTAAATTTTTGAGTGTTGACCTGTGTCCTACTATGCTACTGAATCTGAAAGTCTCTTGATGAAATTTTTTTGTTCTTTCATGAAGAGTATCATGTATTCTTCAATTAATGATAATTTTAATTTTTAATTTACAATCATTATTCCTTTTATTTCTGTCTTGTCTAATTGCTCTGGCTGATATTTTCAGAACTATATTGAATAGGAGTGGTAACAGTGAACATGCTCGTCTGTTCCTGATTTTTAAGTGAAAGCTTTCAGTTTTTGCCCATTTAGTATGATGTTGGCTGTTGGTTAGGTCTGAGGTACAGATCTTCTATTCTATCTTCTAATCTGTAGGGTTTTTTTTTTTATCATGAATGGATATTGGATTTTGTCCAAATCTTTTTCTGCATCTATTGAGATGATTGATTATGTGGTTTTTGTCTTTGGCTCTGTTAATGTGGTATACTACATTTTTGAGTTTGCATAAAATGAAACTTCCCTGCATTCCTGGGATGAATCCCTCTTTGTCATGGTGTATAATCTTCTTGATGCTGTGCTACATTCTGTTTACTAGTATTTTATTGAAGATTTTTGCTTCTATGTGCATTACGGAGCTTGGCCTGTAGTTCTCTTTTTTAGTTGGCTCCCTAGAGCTCCCACTGTTGGGGGTTCAGTTTGGCTTCTGAGATGGTAAGGGTGGGGAGCCACAGCTCTGCAAAGTCCCACAGTGATGGGATATGGCTGAAGCTTCTCAAGGCTCCTGTGACAATGGTCGGGAAGGGTAGGGCTGATGGAGGCTCCTTTGATGGTGGGTCAGCAGGTTGCAGTTCAGAATGGCTCCCTTCAGGATGGGACACAGCAGGGCTTAGCAAGGCCCCTTAGCTCAACCTGCCCTCTGTGATGGGGTGGAGGTGTCAGGCTGAAGCTCAGCAGGGCTCCATGGTCAGCTGTGGGGAGGTTGGATTCATCAGGTCCCTGTTACTGCCTGAGGCTCAGCCTGCCTTCCAGGTCAGAGTATGCTTTAAGTATATATCTGTCTTTCCTGTAGGAGGCCTGCTTATCTGTGCAACAATCTATTCAAGGGCCACTGGGTACCTATGCTGTGAATGTGACATCTGCAGCCAAGCTCTGTAGTCAAAGTTTATGTAACAACCATGGAAGATGTGTTCGAAAAACACCGGAATCCTCCTTCTATTTGCATATGCCTGAAAGCAGCAGTAAGAAATACATCTCAAATAAGAGCTTCAGGTTTGTCATTTCTGAAAAGAATAAACTGAAGACAATAATGGACATGAAGGATGGATTTATGTGTCACTGCTATTATGGCTGGCATGGAGAGTCTTGCCATTACTCTTCAGTTCCCTTGAGTTGGAAAAACGAGGCTCCCACTGCTAACTTTAATTTACCAGTTTGTTTTGATATAATTGTATGTGTGATTCTGCTGAATATTTTTTACTCCCTTCTACAATGTCAATTTTTCCTTAAAGTATTGAAGAATGGAAAATGTTGATTTTTAACTTCAAGTCTCTTCTAAAATATTTGCTTTATAATAAAAAAATTAAAACAGAAGAATCATTGACTCCATTCACTGATGCAGCAAACGCTTGTTGGATGCTGACTAGGTAGCAGGGGTGCACATGTGAAGAGATTTCCCCCATGGCAGCTTAAATTCTTGTCAGAGAATGAGCAATAATAAATCATCAGATACCCATAGAGCTGGTGGTAGTAAGGGCAGTGGAAAATAGTGAAGTAGAATAAAGAAACTGGGGAGCAGGAGACACCACTGAAAATTTTGTGCAGTCAAACGTTCCTCTCTAATGAGGGGACCAGAGACAAGAAAAGCAGATCAATAAAATGTATCAGGAATGCATTCTTGAAAAAAAAGAATAGGAAAACAAAACAAGATGACTCTTCAGACTCCAGACAGTGACTCCAGGCTACCAAATTATAGGGACAAGTGGTCCCTAGGCATAAGTGTTGTAGGTCTTAACTTTATTTAAAAAACATCTTGGACATTCATTTGGTAATCATCAATATTGGAAGATACATCCTGTTAAAAGCCCACATAATAGAATTTATACACAGAAATTCTTTTATCTGTTAACTGTTGTTTAGTTAAATGTACTCTATTCAAGCAATTCATAAGTTCTCAGTAGATGAAAATTCATTTGAACAATTCATGTAGCCACTTAACCTGTTCTAATTATAAACCCAATCATTTTAATACTCAAAGAAGATTATAATACTGTTTCTCTTCTTAAATTAGGAAAAGATATTTTCCTTTCCAAATGTTGCATTTTTATATATTCCATAATAGCATACACATAGAGGCTTAATAGGCAGATCATATTTGAATTTCTACTTTGATTCATTAGGTCAATCATTCTTCATTCATTCATTTGGGGGAGAAGTAAAAATTAAAGAGGTGACTAAATATAGGAAGCTAAATTGAAGACTACATGATAAATTCCCCTATTTTATCTGTATACTGTTGTACCAAGATTGTTAGTATAGGAATTAGATTTTTATGATTAAGCACAAAATGTTTTGTAGCTATTACAGTTGGTCCTAAGTCAACATGAGTATTACTATTATTACTTAGATCAGCATTGTGATATGGAATATATTCCAAGAAAGTAGTGAAAGGCACATATTATTCAAAGTTATCATTATTTTGAAGAAATGTTAAGTATGAAAAAGGTGTTTTCAGTTTTTCCCAAACATCAATTAATCCATCAAATATAGAACACATATCAGTTCTTTATTTAAACTTACAAAATAATCACGCTAGAAGGATTAAGGTAAGTGAAGTAAATACCATGTAATAGACACACAGAAGAAAATAGGAAATATCCCAATACTATCACCTAAGATAATCATTTCACTTTTCCTAAATAAGAAAATTGTATCAAATTTTACTTCACTTTCACTTGATGTAAAGCAGAAGAAACTAGCACATGTGGAAGCACCTTATCTCTAATAATGGATTCTTCATATTTTGCACTTCACCCCTGCATTTTCTTGAATATATATTTATTCAACAGAGTTACTGCATTACATGGGAGGATGGAACCTGAAAGGGATGGGGGAATGTTAAAAAGTTAGATTCCACATGGAGCACGTGAGCAGAAAAACACACAGCTTAGTAGGACCCCTTGTAATTATCAAGGTAAGAATAAAATTATCACAGGAGAAGAGGGTCATTTTCTCCTGAGTTGAACAGCCTTTTGCTATCCCTCTTGTACCCACTAAGCAGGCACATCTATGTCCATTGTAGTTTTTGCATTTGATCCAATATCTAAACTGAACCCTATATAACAAGAGATATTTAAATACTCTGAGGTAAGATATTTGAGCTGCTTGCCCTTCTGCTTACATTGGGGAAAAGTTGAATAGTTTGACTGCTTCAGCTGTCCTGGAAACAATATTGTAGTTGAGTACTCCAATAATTGGACATTTATTTACCTCTTTTTACAGGAATTGCCTCTCCAATGGAAGGAACAGCTTATATCTCTAAATTTCTTGCTGGCTTTTGTTTTGTTTTGTTGCTTTAAATTTTTTTTCTGGATTATTCAATTTCATGATTTTTGGTGTTTGAGCCATGTCACCATTCTTGTTTCTTAGCTTTGTACTTTTTTAATTACCTGCATTGAAAATGACTGAATAAACAAATAGATGTTCTCTGCTCCCTCTCTTGCACCCTGCCATTAGTTCTATTGGGTTCACATTGTATTTTCTTGGTCTAATACTTACTGCTCCATTAAGCATACATTATTCCGGTATCATCAAGACTGACACATTAAGATCTATTTTCTTCTAAATAAAAAGCATAGTACACAAATCCTATGACCCCTTTTTTTCCCTCCAAATCTGGAAATCTTAAACATATCATTTCCTTTACTGCTCCAATTTCTAACTAAAATCTTAATCAATTTTCTTTCTCTTCTTCAGTCAGTAAATTTCAATTGGATATTTTGAGAAAGCAATGGTCACTTACATAGTATTGAGATGCTTTGAAGAGAGCCTGAGTTTGGTTATAATGAGAGTTAATGCAAGCCTCTAGTTTAACTTGGAGAACTGAGTCATCCCTGTAATGACATGTTTCTCTGAACTGAGAGGGGAACCTTTGCCACTCAACCTCTGCTTTGCACTAGGTTGACTAAAGGACCATCAGCAAACAAAAGCAAAGGTAAAATATGCTTTTAGTTCTGTTTGAAAAAAAGGGAAGATTGTTTTAGAAATATGCTTTCCTAAAACTGTTTGAAGAAAACTACTTTTAGCTTCTTGGATTGCTCACTAGACTAACTTATTTACTATTCAATTGCATTACCTTTCAAAATGGGAGGCAGCTTTTATGAACCTAATAGCTTCAAAAATATGATTGTTGCTTTTGTTTATTATAAATTCATATTTGAAAATAGTCTCAATGACTGTTCTAATTTTTTTTATCTCTATTCTGTGTGCACACTTTCTCTGAAGAAGAGCTTAACCGAACACTTCACTGGTGATAGCCCCAAAATGTATGCCATAAAGCAGGTCATCAAATGGGTCACAGGAGCATGGTTTTATGAGAGACCTACAAATATAATATTTTTTTATAACTGACAGCTTGAAGAGTTCCTCAAGCTAACATTAGAGACATAAGTGCTTCCCATTGTGGTATAAGTGCATTTATCTGATAAAGATTTTTATTTTTACATAATTTTAATTGAATATAATTTTCATTTTATTTTATAATTATATCCACTCTGATGAGTATTTTTAACTACTGTTCTGTAGAACAGAAATTGCAGAGTTTTGCAAGCACACAGAACTTAAAGGGTTCAGGAAGAGGGTATTTGGGGGTCATGAGAGTAAGTTTTAAATTGCCTTTCCATGTACTAATATTAATTGAGTACACATGACCATCAATGAGCACTTCAGAAAAGAAAACCTTTTAGTAATTGGGAATAAAGTAAGTACATATATAGCATATTAATAAACAGACTTTTTCAGAGAAGAAAGTAAGCAGAAAAACTGTATGAAAGATACCAATTTTAAATCATTTGATTCACTGGAGAAAAAAGTCATAAAGACAAGACATTTCTTAATAATGTCAGCAAACATCTGTTTATTTCAGTGGCTATACAAATGAAAGATAAATGAAAGAGTTGAGCAACTATTAGTAGAATAATTTTATTTTAGGCAATAAAATTTATATTGCTAAATCTTTCATTCCCAACTTCTGAATAATCTATAAACTTTCTTTTTTCTACTTTACATGAAAACCAAACCAAACCAAAACCTCTGAAGGCAATTCTTTTGGCGCTGCATAGGCTTGTTTTGCTGACTTGAATTATCTTACTTTGTATTCTCTGTGACTTTATCATACAAAACCTTTCTTTCTGGTGTTTGAGTCTCATCATCATTCTGGTTTCTTAGCTTTGTAGTCACCTTGTTTAATAACCTGTGCTGAAAATGACTGAATAAATAAATATATGTGCTCAGCTCCCTATCTTGAGTCATTAATTCTATTAGATTCATGTCCTAAATAAATGGTGTAGTTTTTGACACAGGTGAAGTATATACTGTTATACAAAGATAGTTGTATCTTTTTTTAAAATTGTATTCCTTAAAAATGCAAAATGTTCTTGTTTCAACAAAAAAGGTGTCCCTTCATCTTTTTTTTGAATTTGACAAGATTTATTGGTTATTTTAGTAAAGACATTCATCTCAGTCATTTCTCTCTCCTCATCCTGACCTTACATTAGTATTTCATTTGGGTCAATAAAAGAGTATGTAGGAGAGGGCTGTTATTTCAACAAACAGCAAAATGGACAAAAAATGAGTAAATTTGCCAACATAAAAGTAAGTTAAAGTTAAATTCATGTATCTTGATACAATTAAATCATGTAAGAACTAGTAGTGCTATGTATATGTCCATCATTTTAACTTGGGGCTTAATCTAAACTTTAATGTAAAAGAACAGCTTAGGAGGCATATGCATATGCCTAGGTTTCTTCTCTGGAGTTACTACCTATTAAAAAAGATAAGCAAGTAGCTGCCACCAGTAAAATATCCTAAAGCTGCCTCCAAATTTAACATTGTACGAGTTCTGAAGGAAATAATTATCATTTTTCTTTTGTCTGTGACTATGCTTTTATAGATGTGTTTGACTGTCATATCAGAAAGTTCATATACAAAAAAAAGTCCATATGCAATACAACAATACAAAACAGATAGTTTATAATACACAGATTTAAGAATATATGCGATGATCAATTCCATAAAATGTATTTGAAGATGCATTTTCTTTCATTTTCAGTACCTACAATAGGCTTTCAAGAGGCTATTGATCAATATGTGTATGCTTAAAATAAATCATATTAACTGTTCTAATAAGTTCTGTAATGAATTCAATTCACTGGATTTAACAACTTAGTGACATAACCACACATAGACTAGTTTACAGAACATGCATTTTACTGTTTGCCATCTTTGTACGATGTTAATT